ATATATATATATATATATATATATATATATATATATATATATATATAATCATGTGTGTGCAGTGCCTGGGGAGGCCAGAAGAGGGCACCAGATCCCTTGAAACTGGAATTATAAACAGTGGCTAGCTGTTCTGTGGGTCCTGGGAAGAGCACTGTGTAACCTGGGTCCTCTGGAAGAGCAGCCAATATTCTTAACCTTTCAGCCGTCCCTAGCCCTGGCTTTCTTCCCTTTTTAAAACTTCTGTTTTTAAATTGATATGTATGTGTATGTTTATGAGCACATGAGTATAAGTGCCCATGGAGACCAGAGACATCAGATCCCTGGAACTGGAGTTTCAGGCACGTGTACACAATCTAACGTGGGTGCTAAGAACTGAACTTGGGTCCTCTTCAAGGGCATCATGTGATGCTTTTAATTACTGAATCGTCTTTTCAGCTCCTGACAGTTTCCATTAAGAGTTGCTCGGGGTGAGGGTGGGGGTGGGGTGGCTGAGTGGGGAAGAACATTGCTGCTGTTGTAGAAGACTGGAGTTTGGTTCCTAGCACACCTCTTAGGTGGCTCACAACCATCTGTGATTCCAGCTCCGGGGCTGCAACAACCTCTTCTGGACCCCACAGGCAGCCATATGCACCTTCACAGAGACAGACACACACAAAAACAATAAAATAGCCGGGCGGTGGTGGCGCACGCCTTTAATCCCAGCACTTGGGAGGCAGAGACAGGCGGATTTCTGAGTTCGAGGCCAGCCTGGTCTACAGAGTGAATTCCAGGACAGCCAGGGCTACACAGAGAAACCCTGTCTCGAAAAAAAACAAAAAATAAAATAAAATAAAAGTAAAAAGTCAAACATAAACACACATGTTAAAGAAACAGAATGAGCACTATATATGTTCCATAAGTGAAATGGAAATTTGGGGGTTCTTCCCCACTTTCTTCAAAAGCATTGCTTAAAACAAAACAAAAAATTCACAGTGTATTGATTATTTAAAAATTATTATTTTAGTTGGGTGGGTGGGTATGCAGGTGTCATGGTGTGTGTATGGAGACCAGAAGACAACCTGTAGTAGCTGGTTCTTTCCTTCCACCATGTGGGGAGCCTGGCAGTGAGCTGTCTCAGCAGTGCCCTCATGGAGGCTTACAATTGTTTAAGAACCTTCTGCAAATGTTACCGGCACAGCGTGCTGTGCTTGGAGAGCTAGAGACAAGCCATCTCAGACTGTACACAAGGACGGCATCATGAAATTTGTAACAAAATTCTGAGTTGATTTTTATTTTACGTGTGTGTGTGTGTGTGTGTGTGTGTGTGTGGTGTGTTTCTGTGAGTGCAGACACATGCATGCCAACACTCATGTGGCGGTCAAAGACAGTGATTAGGAGCTGGTTTTTCCTCCACTCTGAATCCTAGAGGTCGAACTCTCCCGTTGTCAGGCTACAGAGCAAGTGCTTTATCTGCTGAACTCCTGCTGGCCCGTGAATTTGCTTTGGTATTTATTCAGCTATTTATTTACTTACTTATTTGTTAGTTTTTGAGATAGGGTGTCTGCATAGCCCTGGAATTCACTGTTTAGGCCTGGCCTTGAATTTACATATATCTACCTGCCTCTGCCTCCCAAGTGCTCCCAGATACCGGCTTTTTTATTTTAAATGTTTATTGATTGATTGATTGATTGATTGACTGATTGATTGTGGTTTTGTGTGCCTGCCACAGCATGTGTGTGGAAGTCAGAGGATGTCTTTTGAGAGGCAGCTCTCCCCATTCACCAGGTAGGCTCCAAGGCTCAAACTGAGGCCCGGACTGGCAGCATTGCCTCTACCTCCCGGACCATCTTACCGGCCCAAGTTTTCTTTATGATGGGAAATACTTTCCATTAGGTTAAAAGTTTTTATTAATTAGGCTTGAAATCATCATATCCCAAGGAAGTTACAAAAATTATAGATATGATGTAGGTCAGTGGTAAAGCGGTGGCTACTGTGCGTTCCATTCCCAGTACAGCAAAAGGGCGTGGGGGTGGGCATGTTTGGGAAAGCCCCTTCCTTGAATGTTTGACTTTCATTTCTGTCATTGTGATAAATACCTGACCAGAAGTAACTGGGGCTGGGCAGTGGTGGTGCACACCTTTAGTCCCAGCACTTGGGAGGCAGAGGCAGGTGGGTTTCTGAGTTCGAGAGTTCGAGGCTAGCCTGGTCTACAGAGTGAGTTCCAGGACAGCCAGGGCTACACAGAGAAACCCTGTCTCGAAAAACCAAAAAAAAAAAAAAAAAAAAAGAAGTAACTTTGGGGAGAAAAGGGTTTCTTACAGCTTCCAGTTCCAGGTTGTAGCCCATCATTAAGGGAAGTCAAGGCAGGCACGTTAAAGACAGGCCTGGTTGGTATTCCATACCACATTACCTCAGACCAGGAAAGTTAGTTCATAGCCAGGGAGCTACAGCAGGAACCATGCAGGATGCTGCTTGCTACCGGCCTTAGCTTGCTTTCTTAGCTTCCTTTCCAGTTCAGGACACCTGCTTAGGGATGGTACACTCACACTGGGCTGGACCCACCTACATCAATTAACAATCCAGGCTGCTCCCACAGGCATGCCTGCAGGCCAGCCTGGTCTAGGCAATTCCTAGTCTGAGGCCCCCTTGTTACATAGTAGGCTGTAGCACATGGACATTTAGAACGAACCAGCACACCTAGTTTTAGGGGCCCAAATCCATTTCTGTTTCCCGTTGACCTGCATCTTAGCTTGCTGACCTTTAAATAGCAGTCACTTACTTTCATTGAGTTTATAAATTTATGAGCTTTTGTGTCAAGTAAAAATTTTAGTGAAATAAATTAAAAGAGGTAAGAACAGAACAGGGAGAAGAGGGTGGGATTTGTGCTCCTTGATTTGTTTTGTTTATGAGCCAGAAATCTTACCTCATTGCTTGGTATGAGTTCAAAGAGTCCCCCGCCTCAGCCTCCCAAGTCCCAGGACTGGAGGTTTGCAACTCCTGCCTGCTCAGTTCCCGATTTCAGTGAGAGTGCAGGGAGAGTAAATGAAAGTTAAGTAATGTGACCCCAGTCTGTAATTCCTTGACGCTGTCACTCAGCTGACCCAGACTCTGGTCTGCTTTTTCTCTTTGCCTGTGTGTGCAGCAATGCAGAGTCTGCAGAGAGGGTAAGTGGCCATGTGGAGCAGTGGGTATGCTCGACCCTGAGGGCGTGCAGGATGCAGACTTCGTTCTTTACGTTGGCGCTCTGGCCACTGAGAGATGCAGCCATGAAAACATCATCTCTTATGCAGCCTATTGTCAGCAGGAGGCAAAAATGGACAGGTAAGCTTTCCTCTGAGCCTGCCCCCAAATACATCCAGTAAAAGGGATTTTACATCTGCTCAAATGCTTCTAGGATTAAGAAATAAGTTGTTAGACGAAAGAAAATTAATTTCTTTCTTTCTTGGTTTTTGGTTTGTTTGTTTGTTTGTTTGTTTTTGTTTTGTTTTGTTTTCGAGACAGGGTTACTCTGTGTAGCCCTGGCTGTCCTGGAACTCACTCTGTAGACCAGGCTGGCCTCGTACTCAAAGATCCTCCTGCCTCTGCCTCTACCTCCTAGTGCTGAGCTTAAAGGTGTGTGCCACCACTGCCCGGCAGCATTGAACTTTTAGTGATCCTCCTGCTTCAGCTTCTGGGATGTTGGGATTACTTCCAGTTTCCTAGATGGTTTTAGGAAGTAAGTCTGTGTTGTGAAAAGCAGTCAGTCACTGTGGAATGATTGTTTCTTCCTCTCGTTGCTGTTCCAGAGAACCCAACAAAACAAGATAAGGGGCTGGAGAGATGACTGAGTGCTTCAGAGTGTATATTGCTTTTCCAAAGGACTTCAGTTCTATCCCCAGCACCCACCCCACAGCGACTCACAACTGCCTGGGTGTGACCCTCTACTTCCAAAGGGACCTGAGCACAAACCTGTACTCAGGCCCATCTATATCTAATCAGAAAATACCTGGAGAGATGCCTCTATGGTTAAGAGCAGAGGACACGGGTTCAGTTCCTCACATCCACACAGTGGTTCACAAGCATCCTTAAGTCCAGTTCTAGAAGATCAGATAACTTCTGACCTCTGCAGACACCAGGCACACATATGGTGCACATACGTACATGGAGGCTAAACACACATATAATAAAAAATAAATCTAAAGATAAATAAAATTTAATTTAAAACTAAGGGAAAGAAGGGTTTTCTTTCCCTCTTAACTTCTGGGCACACTTGGTCACGATGGGGGAAGTGTGACAGAGATCGGCTCTAGGTGTAGCTAGAGCAGGAGGGAGTTGGTTACACAGCAGTAGCAGTCAGGAAGCGGAGACACATGCAGTGCAGGACCCATGCCCATAGGCTCGGGCCACCCACATTCAGGATACATCTTCCATCCTCAGTTAAGCCTCTTTGGAAGTACACTCATGCCCAGAAGTGTGTCTCCAAGATGACTGTAAATCCAGTCACATAGACAGTGAGAGTGGACTGTTTTAAGTCCATCTCTTCTTAACCTGAAACCCAATGCATAGCTTTGTAGTTGTTGCTTTTGAGGTAAGGCCTCAGGTAGTCCAGGCTGGCCTCAAACTCACTGTGTAGCTAAAGATAACTTTGAATTCTTCATTTTCTCCTGCCTCCACCTCCCAAGTGCTGAAGTTGCAGACAGGAGACAGCATTTTAAGGAGTAGAATACAGTATTTTCCCTATGGTCCTCCAAGGCTCAAATTATATATATATATATATCATATATCATATGCCTTGCAAGGCAAGGTGTACTTAGTTGATCTGTAGGAGTCCCCATAATCTTACGCGTTCTTGCATTGCTCAAAAGTCCACAGTTTAGAATACCTTCCGTAGAGACTCAATGCAGTCTCTTACCTATGAGACTGTATAAAATCAAAGACTAAGCTATATCTTTCCAGTATACAGTGGTATAAAATAAACATTTCCATACCCAGATGGACGCATGGAGAATAGGAAGGTGGCTGGCCTGGTAAAGGCATTTGCTACCAAGCCTGATGACCTGAGTTCAGCCTCGGCAGGAGAGAACCAACTCTCACAGGATCTTCTCTGATCTCTGCACATGCTCTGTGGCGTAGGCAAGGCCCCTCTCCACATGCACACACATACAACACACACATATGCACATAGATGTAAAAATAGAAGAAGAATGAGGGACCGGGGAAATAGCTCAGTTGGTAAAGTGCTCTTTGATAGTGTGAGGATCCGAGATTAATCCCCAGGAGCTACCCTAAAAAGCCAGTCATAGTGTGTCTCTATTTGCTTTCTATTGCTCTGATGAACACCAAAACCAAAGCAGCCTTGGAGAGGGAAGGGTTTATTTGGTTTGTACTTTGATGTCCCAGCATATCATCGAAGGAAGTCAGGGTGGGAACTCAAGATCAGGAACCTGGAGGCAGGAGCTGATGTAGAACCACGGAGGACTACTGCTCACTGCTCATTGTCCATGGCTCATTCAGCTTGCTTTAAAAAATGTACCCCAAGCCGGGCGATGGTGGCGCATGCCTTTAATCCCAGCACTTGGGAGGCATAGGCAGGCGGATTTCTGAGTTCGAGAGTTCAAGGCTAGCCTGATCTGCAGCGCGAGTTCTAGGACAGCCAGGGCTACACAAAGAAACCCTGTCTCAACCCCCCCCAAAAAATAAATAAATATATATACACACACACACACACACACACACACACACACACACACACACACACA